AAGCAAAGTTTTCCTAGTGTATCCAAGTGATTTACAGCTTTTAAAATTATTCAAACAAATTTAGTTTATATGTAACGACAAAAACATAACCAATCAATCCTAGCCTATAGTCTCACACACACACACACCCCTAATCAATCCTAGTCATACACACAATTAATCAAACCTAGCTGGTAGTCTCTCTCTCTCTCTCTCTCTCTCTCTCTCTCTCTCTCTCTCTCTCTTTCTCACACCCACACAGATGTGCGGACATCATTTTCCTGATGAAATCTTAGGAGTTATATCTTCTGCTACTTTTTATTTTTGTCTTCACTTAGTCTATTACTTATTACTAGGAACCAAAAACAAATTCTTGCTCAATATCACTTAAATGTACAAAACAGAGAACATGTTTAGTAGGTTTGATCAGGCATCAGTCAATTCATTTGGAGAGCAAGCGTATGGTGCAGTGGAAAAGAGTTCTCAGCTTGGAGCTACAGGATAAGAGTAACTAAATCTGTCGCTTAGTATGACATGTATGACTTTAGACGACTCACTTAATTTTTCTGGCCTCAGTTTCCTTATCTGAAAAATAAGAGACCTGAACTAGATGACATGTGGCCTCCTTCTAGCTCTAAGTCTGTGAGAAAAAGATGAAATTGCAACAACCAAGATTTTTTTTTCAATAATAAAGCATATGTGACTTTATTTTGTTTTTGCCTAACAGGAAAATACCCCCAAAAGTCTGCAAGTAACTTCAACCGAAAACAAACTGAGTAAACAAATCTTAGAGCCTTGAATTGAAGAATGGTCTACCGGGACAGAGATGCAATCACATTTGTTCACTTTACAAAGCTGCTACAAATTAAATATTTGCTAATAATAATAATAAATACATTTTAATATTTTACTTGATAACCCTAGAAATACATAAAGCAGAACGAAAAATTAAATGGTATATGGAAAATGTTAACTGTCTTTACATATGGTAAGAAAATCTGATGCCACTTTACGAAATCAATCAGTTAATCAACAAGCATTATCAAAGGCTTACTATGTTGTAGGCAATGGGTTTAACTATGACCAGGAATAAGTTTGTATAGTTTGAAATAAGATAGCTTTTGTTCAGCTCATTAAAAATAATTCAACTTGACATTTTCTTTTGCAAACAACACAAAAGTTCAAAGTTGTTTATTTTCTTAGATGCATAAGGACAAAACAATATCTATTCATAAATGTAACAAGCCACCTGAATATCACTCTTAATATTAACAAAATTGTAAGAGCGGTATTTTGGGAAAAATGTGTAATTATGGCAAAAAAATTTACTTAGTTGTATATGCCTATTGACTGCAATGCTTGGGCTATATCCCAAGTAGACTGCTGAATGTGACTGGAATGAAGGCTGAGGCTTTGAACTAGATAAGAAATTAAGAAGGCTTTGATAGTACTTCTCTAAAAGGGTGTGTGTGTGTGTGGGGGGGGTGTTTGGTTTCTTAGCTAGTTCCACCTCAAAGGCAAGGGGTGAGAGAGGGTGGAGGTCACAAATTGCTGGAAGAACCTACGTAGAGGGAGGGAGGGAGGGAGACCCTGGCCTGACTTCAACCTCAGCCCCAGCTAACTGGTCTCCTCAATGTCAAAGGCTGTGGCCTAAGGCCCCTGAGCAATAGGAAGGACAATGCAAGTAAGGACCATGGGTATACTAGACACACTGAACCCACTCTGCTACAGGCAGGGACATACCGAGGTCCCTGTTCCCAACTCAGAATGCTGCTGGCTTCCCTCCTTGGGATGAATGAACCTAGGGCATGAGTAGACTCTGGAGGGAACAAGGAGCATTGCTCTTGTTAAGCTGATTAATCTGAGTCAGGAAGTAATTCTAAGGAATGGCTGGTGCCCCTATGTGAGCATCACTCATATCTTAGAAAAATCAAATTCGAGCAAACTGAATGAAAGATTCAGGAGCTAAAGAGCCAGGGGAGCTAAGTTTTAGTCTATGCTCTGACAACTTCCTTTGTAAAACAAGGAAACTAGACACAAGAGTCTCTAAAATCCTTCCCAAAGCTAACACTTTGTGAATCTATGAGACCTGGGTTTTACTTAATGCTGCCTCACTTCAGACACAATGTCCATATGGCCTTGGTCATACAACTTTTCTTCTGGAACCTCAATTTCCTCCTTGGTAAAATGAAGGACTTGGACTATTTATCAGGGATTCTTAATTTAGGGTCCGTGAATTTTTTTATTTCAAATATCCTGCTAACTGTATTTCAATATAACAGTTCCTTTGTAACATTTTATTTTATGCATTTAAAAACATTATTATGAGAAAAGGTCCACAGGCTTTTACAAAGATGGCAAAAGAAGTCATCTGTGACACAAATAAAAGTTTAAAAACTAGGAGATTCCTAAGGTCCTCTTCAGATCTAACACTCTTGCTGACAGTTTTGGGAAGAGAGGAATGACTTCAGGCCCTATTTTAGCAATTTCCCCAAAAGCATCTACTTGCTATAGCAGTTACCACACTACCCACACCTAAGTAAGCTCTTAGATATCAAATAGGAAGAAACTCTTAATAACAATCAATCAACAAGCATTTTTTAAGGCTCCATTCTACTTGGAATATAGCCCAAGCATTGCAGTCAATAGGCACACTACAAACACCAGGTATTTGGTATACAAATACAAAAGTGAAATGACCTCAGCACCTAGTTGTTAAAAATAACTAATTAAAATAGGAAGCAACTAAAGTTTCCCTGCTTCCTGTTCTGAGTATTGTACTCATGGTTTCCCAGAGTCTGGGTCTATCTCCATGGAGTCTACCACCCTCCCCATAATCAAAGATACCCTTTCTAGCTGCTTGGTCTGAGTGTAGTTCGTAGTGGTTGCCCCAGGCACAGAAATTACAGCTAGCAAGATAAGACCCATGTAAAAAAAAACGTTCATGGCAGGATCATTTGCAAAAATAAAAAAGCTGGAAAAGAAAAATATGTGTACAAAGTCTGAGGAATGACTAAATAAATTATATGGCACAGAAGTAGAATGAAATGGGACTGTACCACAAGGAATTAAGAATATGACTAACTGAAACAGTAAAACTCATATGAAATGAAGTAGAAGAAAGCAAACAAAGGAAAAAAACACCCATATATATGATGACTGCAACCAATGTAAATAAAAGAGACAACAAACCTAGTCCAAAAAAGGTCACGGTCAGAATTCTATCACCAATGTTAAAAGAAGTATCTTTCCATTAATAAATGACAACACACACACAATACCCTGCAAATTAGTGAAAATTACAAAAGAAGGCAATAGTTAATGTTGAGAGACATTGTGGGAAGATAGGCACATTGGTGCATTGTTGATGGAGTTGTGAATTAGTATAACCATTTTGGAAAGCAATTTGAAATCATGCAAGTAAAATGACTAAAATGTCCATATGCTTTGACTCAGAGATTCTACTTCTACTACTGCTACTACTGCTGCTGCTGCTCCTGCTGCTGCTGCTGCTACTACGAAGAGGCCATTAAAGGAAAAGAGTCCATATACACATATACATATATATATATGTCAAAATATTTATAGAAGCATTTTTTGTGGTAACAAAGAAGTGGAAACCCAATAGATGCCCATCAGTTGGAAAATGACTAAACAAACTGTGGAACATGAATGTAATGGAATACTACAGTGCTGTAAGAAATGATGAATGCAATGAATACACAGAAGTATGGAAGGTTTTCATGAAATAATACAGAATGAAATAAGCACAGCCAAGAAAATCATGTATAATGACTATAACAATGTAAATGGAAGAACAAAAGTGAATGTTGCCAAAATCATAAATAACAATCATGGCTAAAAAGAAGATACAAGAAGATACCCACTCTTTTGCAGAGTTGGGAGGTCCACAGGTATACTGCAAATATTTTCAGACTTTTTCTGTGTATTAATTTTTTCTCCTCTCTCTTTTTTCCTTTAAAAATATTATTTGTCATAGGAGATGGCTCTCTGGGAGGGGAAGAAGGAGGAGAGGGCAAACCAGGGGAAATTTTGGTGACAAGCAAAAAAAGATATCAATAAAAATTTTATTTTAAAAAATTACAATCGTATTGTCTATTTTAGAGAATGTGCTTTGTAAACAGGATTGCTGAAAGGCATCTGCCGCAAAATATGTATAAAAATACATTTAGGAAGATTATAGATTACTGTTTAAAAGAGTAGGTACCAGAAAACCACAAGAAGCCTCAGAAGGTGACTAAACATTTTTATGTGTACGGACATGTGCGGGTGCACACACACATGTACACACTTTGACTCTCAATAACTATAGTTATATGTACACATATATATATAAATATATAAATAAATATATATGGGGGAATATCAAACTATGTCAGAAACAGAGATGAAAATTACATTTTATGCTTTCTTTTATGTTTAGCAGAGAAACAGATGCAAAATTTATACGTGAAGTCTCATCAGGTGTCAACACTAGATTTTCTGGGCTTGTTAAAACTACTGTTTAAAAAATATAAAATACTACTAAACAACAAAATATTCCTAGAGTAACTATTATAATCCCTAGTGATTCCTCAAGGAAATTTCATATCTGAACCTCTTTTAACACAATTAATGATCTGAAACTCCAAAAGTCTGAGAATGTTCCATAGGTTTTCAAGGAGAATAGTAACCTCTTCAAATTCTCCCTTAGTACAAAAACAAGCACTCATTAAAAAACAGGTTAGAAAGGTCACTGTGGTAGAAGCAAAAGGTGGTGGAAATATGGTCATCTATTATAACTCTGCAAATATACAACATGGTTTTTTTAAGTATTAGTTCTAGAAAAAGTCTTTATTCTTTACTAGACCTATATAGTGGATTCGTGCATATTCAAGGATTCTTTTTGTGCTAAGAAAAGCAAGAAAGAAACTTAGGAACTTTCACATCCCTTCTATTCTCAGAAAATTCATTTTCTATCTCCACCAATCAAGACAAGAAAGTTCATTAAAATCTCTTACCCATCCCAGAGTCTTTCTTGGTGCCATCTGATATGATGTCCACATGGTCACTGTCTACATCATAACTGAAGAAATCATTCAAGTAGGTTTTTGATCGCTGACCACCAAATACATATAAGCAACGATTTTTCTGAAATTAAAAAAAAAAAAAAAAAAAACAACAGGGAAAAACAAGAGAAAAGGAAGCAGTGATGCAGAGTAATAGCTGAAGATCAATTCACACAGACTTACTCTTTAGTGACCAGACCTTTAAGAAGCTCTAATCAATGTTTGAGAAGCAGCTGTCTGGTGAGCAGTGAGTTGGAGTTGCATAAGCTCAAGTTGTATAGAGCCAATTCTTACATTTTTACACTTATAAAGCAGAACAGACATGAAGCCTGGCACAGTGGAAAGAGGCTATAATTTGGAGTCAGGAAGAGCCTGGGTTCAAGTTCCGCAATACTATCTGCATGACTGTGGATGAGCTAGTTGCAATTTCTCAGCACCCTATAAAGTTAATATGCAGCAGTAATTCCTCCACAAGGATATAAACAAAAATTGTAAGAGGGAAAGGAACAATGGTGAAAATAATTAATTTCGTTAGCATGAAGTTGTGAGTTGAATTAGCATTAAGATGGAGAGGGGAAATAGTTTCTGTATTCAGATGGGTAACAGTGAAGCTTAATCTAAGGAATTCCTAACTGAAGTGGAGAATGTTCTCCAACAAGAAGTCCCTCAGCTAGCAAGTAAGGTCCCACATAAGCAAATAATGAACTGAATAAATGGGACCTTTTTTTTTTCATTCTGACATCACTAGAATAAATGCCAAAAATAAAGGAAAATCACAGCTGCATCCATTATTTATGTGAACATTAGGAAGATAGGAATTTTAAATTTTGTTGTACAAAATGAAATAGATTCTACCCTTTCTTGACTAAAGTGAAACAAACATCACAGTTTTGTATTATAATCTCAATTGTCCTTACTGAGTGGAAAAGCATGCAGTGTCCTATTCGGGACTGGATGTCCTCAGGTCCAGCATTACAGGAATCCTCTCGAAGAAGTTTCCATGTTTGACATTGGCAGTTAAAAGCAAATAAACCACTGAATTGAGGTTCACTGGCTCTACTGTCATCTACACTGCCATTACAAGTCAAAATTCTTCCACCAAAAGTATAGATCATATGTTTTTCAGAATCCATACACATCTGCATAAAGAAAATAAATTCATTTTAGTATGTTTTTATCAACCTATTAAGGAGTTAATGTGATTGTGCAAACTTTTTAGAATTTCAGAGAATCTGTGGTTTGATTTTAAAATTCAAGAAAACCACCACAGAGTGTCATGAATAACAAAAATATTAAAAACACTTAAACAAAGACAATGGTTGTTTCTAAAATACTGCCCCAGATTTCATTTTTTTCCAGTGGGAATAAAGTCTTGGATTAAAAAGCTAAAGATTTTCTCCAAGTTTTGTAGTACAACAGCTTTTATCAAAAGCAGCAGAAGCTACTGACATAACTGAAGCTGAACACTGCTCCCATAGCCCCTTTCATCTTTCTGTACTGAGTTTTTTATTACTCTCCTGGGCTACCATCTATCTATGTTTGGTACTACCAATACTAATGGTTCCCACCTGTTAATCACTTAACTTACAAATTACCTTCTTTACACCGTGAGGTAGTTCAGATTACTATAAACATTTTACAAATCACAGGTTCTTCCATCTAGAGCCAAAAGGGACCTCAGACGCATCTAATCTAATTTCCCCATCTTACAGATGTCTCTAAGAGCTGGTCCCTAAAATGCAGTCTGAAAGTTATGACTTTTACAGTATGACTGATTTTAGGTCCTTTTAAATATGACATTCTCATTCTAGGTTACTTTGAATTAAGTTTTACAATTAATATTTTAAAAATAACCGTATATCTCTATTCTTCTGTCCCTACAACCTAGAGAACTTACCTAAGGAGAGAGATTAGCTAAGTATCATAAGGTTTTGAGAGTCATTTTCATATGACTCCAAGTCAGAATAAAATTCTTTCTCAAAGTATTTGCAAGCCAAAAAGTTCAGAATGCAAAGTAGATCTAAACATGAGTGGAATTTTTATTTAAAGTTTAAATTATGCACATAAAAGCCCCACCCAGACTGTATAACTCTCCTCCCCTAAACACCATATTCAATACATATTTCAACCAGCCCTTAGCACAGTACCTTGAGCATTTAGCACAATGCCTGGCACACAGTAGGTACTTAATAAATGTTTACTGATTGATTTAGAAGAAGCATAGTTATAGATAAAGACCACTGAATTTGGAGTCAGAAGACGTGCTCAAAATCTCAACCCTGCTATTTACTTAACTGAGTAACCTTGTTCAAATCACTTAATCTCTCTGGGCCTTAATGAGAGAGGTGGAAATGATGATGATGATAAGAAAAAAACTAACATTTATACAGTACCTACTGTGTACCAGGCACTATTACTAAGTATTTTATAATTATCTCATCTGCTTTTCACAACACTTTACTGGAGGTAGGTGCCATTATTATCACCATTTTATAGATGAGCAAACTTATGCAAACAGAGGTTAAATGACTTGCCTAGGGTCGCACAGCTAGTAAGAGGCTGAGGCTAGATTTGAACTTAGATCCTCCTGACTCCTGGCCCAGTGCTCTGTTGTGGGACACTGATTTGATTTCTAAGGTACTCTCCAACCTTAATTATCCTAAATAAATGAATAATTTTAAAATTTTCAGCATCTCCTACCCAGGTCATTCACTTCTACAACTCATATCTCCTTTCTTTCTCCCCTCTGATAAGGGCAGAATTCATGACACTTTGCAGTGGGTAGGCATAAGTCAACTTCTATTACCCAAAGGAGAGATCTTGCTATGTGTCAAAATAGTTGAAAAGTTTAAGTCCCCACGATTTTATAAATATTAAAATGACCCTTACACACAGCATAGCATTTAATTATATTTTCATTTGGTATTTTATTATTCCCTGTGAATACGTCAGTTCAATTTAACCAGAATTTGTTAAACATCTATTATTTGCGTAGCACAGTGTCAAAAATGAGACTACTCTCAAGGAAATTTCCTTTGAACTATAAGGATATATTACATCTACAGATCAATAAATACAAGGTAATTCAAGGAAGGAGAGAACCTTAACAATTCAGGGTATCAGGGAAGACTTCATGGAAGGGATGCCACCTAAGTTGTCTTAAGGAAAGATAAGGATTCAAGGAAGCAGAGATGAGGAAAAGTAATTAGAGAAAGGTCACCAAGATGACACACAAAGATGGGCATACTCTTAATGCTGCAATGACCCACAAGTGTTCCACTTCTATGCTGATGAACACTGACATTCATTTATCTAACCATTACCTATCATTCCATCTTTCCCTGTGCCTTATGATATCTAACTGTTCTTCACCTTTACCATGATCTCCAGCCCTAAAGCCCTCAGGTCTTCCAATCCTACACTGGTCAAAATCTTCTCCCTTCCCTATCGCTACAGTTTGGTGAAATCAGTTCAACTTTATATTATCTTATTCATTTGAATCTCTTGCTTCCTTATCCTATCATTGATCTTGCCCTAAAAAGCCTCAGTTTTGGATTACTTCCACTTATGTCCTATAGAATGAAGCTGGAGAAAATGATGAAATCGTGCTGAGTACACAACAAGTATATTTTGCGTAATTTCAGGTGGGCCCTCACTACAGAAAGGCAATCCTTTCACACTTTTCTAATCAATTCATTCTTCCACTTACCACAGGAGCTATTATAAACCTCTTCATCTCTCATCAAACTTCCTATTTCATCCTTTACTCTCAGCTAAGCATCTTGCCTCATGCCTCACAGAAAAAAATAGATCCAGCTTCTAGCACAGTGTCTGCCATTTAGTAAGTACCTAACAAATGCGTGTTGAGTGCTAAATGATTGATGTCTCAGAAACATCTCAAACTACATAAATTCCAAACATAACTTAATCATCTTGTCCCCCATATTACCATCTTTTCCAAATTTCCTTATTTCTCCTTGTAAACACTACCATTCTTCAAATCTCCTAGATTTGCAGCACTTCCTTTCTCACTCTGTTACCTCATATATCCAATCAGTTTTCAAATCTTGCCATGTCTATATTCAAAACAGCCACCACTTCAGTTTAGGCCTTCATCACCTCTTGCCTAGACTACTGCAACTGATTTGTAATTTGTTTCCCTGACTCATATCTCTCTTCCTAGTCCAATTCATTCTCTATAGAGCTGTTAAAGTGACTTTCGTTTTGTTTTTTGGTTTTTTTTTTGGTGAAGCAATTGGGGTTAAGTGACTTGCCCAAGGTCACACGGCTAGTACGTGTCAAGTGTTTGGTCTGAGGCCAGATTTGAACTCAGGTCCTCCTGACTTCAGGGCCGGTACTCTATCCACTGGGCTACATAGCTGCCCCTAAAGTGACTTTCCTTAAGCACAAAGCTGACTGTGTAGTTCCCCTGCTAAGTAAATTCCAGTGGCTCCCCACTTGATCATCAGATATAATAAATTTCTGTATTTGGCTCCGAAAATTCTTTATAGGGGCAGCTAAGTGGCACAGAGGATAGAGCACTGGCCCTGGAGTCAGGAGGATCTGAGCTCAAATCCCTGGCCTCAGACACAATTCCTAGCTGTGTGACTCTGGGCAAGTCACTTAACCCCAATCATTCTTTATAAACTTCTACCTCATTATACACTAATACACTACTCCCCTTTCCATACTCAAGAGTACAGCCAACTACAGTTAACTCCCAAAGCATCTTGAGAATAAAGAATGTTTTATTTTCTACTTGCAGATAGACTTGTAGTATCTCTACTACCCAGGAAAATGTCTCATTAATAAATGCCTATTTGTTGATTCCTATATAGAGTTTTGAAATTTTGCAGTTTCCCATTTTAAAATTTTTACTATTTTTTTCTATTGCTGCATTCTACGAAAAATTATTATTTTCAGTTTCAAATTCTATCTCCCTTCTGCCCCTACCTGATCCACTGAGAAGACAAGATATGACACCCATTATACATATGAAATCATATAAAACATTTCTGCATTAGACATATAACTAAAAAAAATAAAGGGGAAAAATACTTCAATCTGCACTGAGTCCATCAGTTCTCTCTCTGGAGGTGGATAGCACGTTACATCATGAGCCCTTTGGAGTTGTGGTAGATCATTATACTGTTAATAGTTATTGGGGGCAGCTAGGCGGCGCATTGAATAGAGCACCGGCCCTGGATTCTGGAGGACCTGAGTTCAAATCCACCCTCAGAAGCATAACACTTACTAGCTGTGTGACCCTGGGCAAGTCACTTATCCCCATTGCCTAGCCAAAAAAAAAAAAAAAAAGAAGAAGAAGAAGAAGAAGAGTTACTAAAGCATTCACAACTGATTATCTTTACAATATTGCTATTATTATGTAGACTGTTCTCCTGGTTCTGCTCACTTCACTTTGACCTCCTAAACTGTCCTGTGCAAGAAAAAAAAACAGTTGTTTTTTCTTGGTTTTACACTCATTAGGTTTAATTAGGTTTAACTTGCCTTTTGTTTGTTTGTTTTTTTTAACTTGCCTTTTAAATTAATTTAGAGGCATATGCTGGGAGAGCTCAGCAGAAATGCTTACTTCACTACAAGATCAAATATTTCAATTAGGTTTTCTACCATCTCTTAAAAATTATTATAAGGAAGGCAGATTTTTAGTGTGTGTAAAGTGGATTTTTTGTTATTCTTTCTCAGAGTTTTCTTCCCAGGATCCATAGCCATAACAATCTCTACTTCCCAGGTGTTAGATTTGAGTTCTCATGATCATGGTTCAAAACCGTTTCTACCACGTTTGCACAGAAGATATGGAGATAAAGTGATGTAAAATTGTGAGGCTAATGATGGCAATATGCCTTCTTTGTCTGTTGCCCTACAAAAGCAAGTGGACACTAGTCAGTGACTGGGGACCCCCACAGGGGTGAATGTGCAGGCTGGAATGCTATGCCTGCTTTGATCAGCCCCCATCAAGGCTTGGGAGGGGGAATCTATGTGTTTGCCTCAACCAGCCCCCATTGAGGCTTGAGGGGATTTAGGAGAATGCACAAGTTGTGCTGGTCTTGATTGACCTCGTGGAGACGAGGGGTAGTTGCCCTGCCTTCACACCAGCCCCTGCAAGAAGGGTTGTTAGGGAATGCTGTAGGAGTTGGAGCTCCCACTATCGGCAAACTCCCTTTGAGAAGACTAGATTAGAATAAAGTAAACTTACTTAACCCCTTATTGTGACTCCATTCCTGTCTTCCCACTTGACCAGATCAAAAGCGAACCTGCTAGTGAGAAGTGCTAGAAGCCCTCCTGTGTCTCCTTCCTAAGAAATGGCATAGTGAGTGTGTTTACTTGTCTAACAACTAAAAATGTTCATTTTAATCTTAACTTTTTTCCAGAAAATTTATTTCCATTGAATGAGTTATTTAGATTCAATCACTAAATAATATTAACTTGTTTACTAAGTATCTAGGAAATCTACAGCTGTCAATCACTTTGGGCTTACACAGACAACTTTTCTTTCAAACTTGGTTTTAAATAATCTCTGAATATGGAGCTTTAAAGCTAATAAACATGAGTTTTTTTCCCCTTCTAAAAATTATTTGTTTTCAACATTTAAAAAAATTTTGAATTCCAAATTCTCCCTCCCACCTCTCCCCCATTCACTGAGAAGGCAAGCAATAAATCTATCAATTATACATGTGAAATCATGCAAAACATATTTCCATATTAGCCATCACACACACACAAAACAAGAAAAATTAATAAAGTGAAAAAATTGTACTTCAGATTGCACTCAAGAATTCATCAGTTCTCTCCCTAAAGGTGAATAACATTTTGCATCATGAGTTTGGAACTGTCTTGGATCCCTGTATTGATCAGAGTAGCTAAATCTTTCACAGGTGACCATTGTTACAATATTGCTATTACTGTGTACAATGATCACCTGGTTCTACTCACTTATTTTTGCAAACATCAGTTCATATAGGTCTTTCCAGATGTTTCTGAAACTATTATCCTTATCATTTCTTATAATATCATTTCTTATGATACAACAGCATTCCCTTGCAATCACATAACCACAACTTGTTCAGCCATTCCCCAAATGATGGGCATCCCCTCAATTTCAAATTCTTTGCTACCACAAAAAGAAATGCTATTAACATTTTTGTAAATATAGGTAAAATATAATGCGTTTTTAAACCATTTCAGCAACATTGCAACATTGTTTTCCACGCAGACCTCAAAAATTATGTGGTCATATAATTCAACTCAAAATTTTTAATGGTTCCCAATTACTTCACAAATAAAATTCGAAATTCTTATCCTGGCATCCAAGATGCCTCTGACCTACCACCCCCACTTTCCAACTTTTATCTCAAACTAAGCTTCTCCCAATACTCTGCTCTAGCTAAAATAGATCACATGCTGTTACATGCCTTCCTGACTCCTTAGTGTATCTTGTTCCTTATATTTCAAAGAAAAAATTATGCTTGTATATTCAGCAAAAATCTGCCTTCTCACTCTCCCACCACAACGTGCTCCACCAATAATAAAAGGAAAAAAAACCTATTATAAATATATAGAGAATGTATAGTAAAGCAAAAAAAAATTTTCTCATTGGCCATGTCCCCCCTGAACCTCCCAAACTGTTTCATTTTGTACAGAATTCTTCAACCTCTTATCAGGAGGTGGGTAACATGTTTCATTATTAGTCCTCTGCAATCACAGTTGATCATTATATTTACAAGAGCTCATAATACCTTCAAGGTTGCTTGTCTTTATCATATTGTTGTCATTGTGTAAATTGTTTTCTTGTTTATGTTCACCATGCTGTAGCAATTCTCATACAAATCTTCCCACGTTTTTCTGAAACCATTTACTTCATCACATTCTATCACATTTATATAACATAACTTGTTCAGCCATTCTCCAGTTTATAGGTATCCCATCAGACTTTCATTCTTTGCTGCCTCAAAAAGAGCTATATATATTTTAGCATCTGTTTTACATAAGACTAGGCCTTCCTTTCATTTACTCTCCCTTTACCCCTTTTCCTATTTTCCTGTTGAGTGGAATACAATTGTGTACCCAAATCCATGTGTTTTTTCCATCTTTGAGCAGTTCAAATAAGACTAAGATTAAAGTGGCAGCTGTGCAGCCTTACCTCTCACCAACTGGACTATGTACATATCTACTTGCAAACTTTGATTATTTGAGATAATTTTGCCTCAACCCCCTTCCCTTCTCTTTCCTTTTTTCTTTTAAGATCATCAAGCCTTAACAGACCTCTTCCCAGGCCTTTCTAATCAGACTCTTTCTATGAGTCCTGATGAAGAATGTAATTTGTTGGAATGTAAGCAATTTATTCCTGAGTGAAACGGGAATTCTAATCATTCCTGATGAAAAGGCTATGATGGTGCTAGGAGTTTTCATTTTGGGGTTTCTTTCAAGAGGTAATTGGTAGATTCTTCCTAGTTCCACTCTGCCTTCTGGTTTTAAAAGATAGGAGCATTTTCCTTTTAAGATTTATTGAAATATGATGTTTAGGCTCTCTTTTGGTCATAGCATTCAGACAGTCCAATGTTTCTTAATTTTTTTCTCTCCTCAATCTGTTTTCAAGGTTAGTTGCTTCTGTTATGAGATATATTTCCTTCTCTTTTTTTCAGTCTTTTGTCTCATAGGGCCATTGTTTTGGTCCATTCTTATTCTCAGGGAGTTTAATTCCTTTTATAATTCTTTCTTCCATGGCTCTCATTTCATTTTCATTTTTTCCCTCAGGTGCTTTATTAAAAAAAATTTTTTTAAACTCTTTCTTAAAAAAACTTCTTGCATCTCTTCCAGGAATTCTAGTTGAGTTTGTGCCTAAGCTATACTGCTCTTTGCAGATTTACTTATAGATGTTCTGGAGTCATTCTTGTTCTTCTCTGTTTGTGTCTTAAGCTTCCCTGCCACCATGATGCCTCTTTATGGTGGTATTATTTTCCTGTTTGTGCATTCTTTCAATCTATTTTCTCACATTAATATAAGTGTTGGGTTCTGCAACACTTCTGGAGGAAAAGACTGGGCCAATTCTGTTGCTGCTTACTTGGGGTACTGAATGCTGTGTTATTCTAGGATCTCAGTGACAACATGGGATAAGGACCTACAAGCTTCTGGTGTTCCCAAAGGGATCTGAGCTAAGGCAAAAATCTCATTAATGCCCCCCTGGTCTGAGTTCTTCTAGTTCTTGATCTGAGTTTGGGTCTGTTATCTGAGAATATTCAATACAGAAATCATTAATAGTTCAAATATTACACATAAAGTAAAACTTCTGAAAAGAAATAATTATAACATATTTTTATCACTCTACCACACCTGATGATCAAACACCAACTTGGGTCCTCCATCAGCAGCAGTGTCCTCACTTAGCAACATCCATGTGTTTGTGTCAATGTCATAACGGTAGAAGTCACTTTTCAGAGATTTGCTATTTCTCACAGAGGAATCCAAGTAACGTCCCAGTGTGTAGATCTGTCTTCGCTGAATGTCAATACACATTTTATGACAAGATCTGGCACTAGGTCCATTCTGTTTGGGGGGAAGAGGTGGGGAGAAAGCATAAAATGGTGATTAGAAAAAAAAGAAATAAATATCAGAACCTAACATAATATTGTTATTTTTCTTCTGATTTCTTAGATATTTATTAAGAAAATCAGAAACATTTATTAAGCAACAGATGTTGCTCTGATATTAATATGCCAGTAGATGTAACAAAAAAGATGACATTACATTTGTAATCTGGCTGAGAAGAAAAGATTCCTCAGAATTTCTACAGTACACAGGATATCCCAAAACTCTTAGGCAGTTAGACTTTTAGGACATTCTGTACTCACATGGCACTTTTCACATACTGCCCTATACCAAAGTTATTTGTACATATGTAGTTATTTCCCCAGGCAGCCAGGTGGTGAAGCAGATAGAGTGGCAGGCCTGGAATCAGGAAGACTCATCTTCCAGAGTTCAAATATGGCCTCAGATTCTAACTAGTTGTATAACTCTGAGCAAGTCACTTAACCCTGTTTGCCTCAGTTTCCTCATCTGTAAAATGAGCTGGAAAAGAAAGTGGCAAACACTCCAGTATCTTTGCCAAGAAAACCCCAAATGGGGTCATAAAGAGTTGAACATGACTGAAAAAAATGTCAAAGTCATTTTCATGATTTGATAGTAAATGCCTCCAGCACAAGGAAAACATGACCTACTGTATTTAGCTTCAATAGTTCCCCATCTCCCAATTTGCAAAAAGATAATGCTCAATAAATATTTGTTGAATACATATATATGAACCAACTAGAGATGACACAAGAGTGTACCAAATAACACAGCACAATTATAAAGAACATAAATATTATAGGAATTCATATGAAGGAAAAGATCATTATAGACAAGATAGTGAGGGAAACTTTCCTGGAAAGTAAATTGTGAAAGCAGTACAGAACCTGATGATGGAAACAAAAAAGAAAGAATATTTTAAATTGGGGAAATGAATAAAAGTAATAATATGAATGGTGTAAACAGGCCTGGAAGAGAGAAGACGGGATGAGGAGCCTATTCTTACTGGTGCGAAAAGTTTGTATTGGGGAAAGAGAGAAATTAAAGTTGAACACTAAAGTAGAAGGAGTTGATGCAATACTGAGTAAGTGGCTAAGGAACATAGACATGGTTTTAGAGGCAAAACAAAGACATTGCAGGTTCTTATGCAAGAGGTAATATGGCCGACTCATTCTTTAGGATTAGATTATTTAGTTTCCAATAAATTTTTAAGCTACGCTTCAAAGACCCTTTATTAAATGTAATTTTTATTTCATGACGGTCCAAAAAGAGTGTCCAGGGCACCTTTATAAAATCTCAGTTTTTATGCCCTCATTCATGGACAGATTTTATAAAGGTGCCTTAAAGAGTTGAGAAATTGAGCTACCCCTTTCTATACCCATTCAATATTCTCCAGAGGTCTATCATATCTAACTTTTATAAAATTCCTTCACCTCTTTTACTTTTTTGTTAATTTTATGGTTAGAAATTTTTAAGTCTGAGAGGAATACATTAAGGCTCCTCATTAGTAGTTTTACTATTTCCCCCTGTAACTCATTAAACTTTTCCTTCAATAATTTGGATACTATACCATGTAGTGTATATGTATGTTTAGTATTTTTTTTAGCATAGGGATCAGTTTTTATTTTATTTTAACATTTTCTTTTTAAATTTTTAGTTCCAGATTCTCTCCCTGTCTCAACCCTCCCCCACAATGAGAAAGGAAACAGTATCTTATACATGTGAAATCAAGCAAAACATATCATAAAAAAGGGCAAAAAAAAAAAAACTAAAAAAGGTGAGAAAATTATATTTTAATTTGTGCTCAATGTTCATCAGTTCTTCTGCTGGAGGTGAATAGCATTTTTTCATTGTGAGTCCTGTGGAATTGTCTTGGATCACTGTATTGATCAGAGTAGCCAGGTCTTTTACAGTTGATCATCATTACAACAGTGCTGTTACTGTGCACAATGATCTCCTGATTCTTGTCATTTCACTTCTCATCAGCTCACATAGACCTTGCCATATTTTTCTAAAACCATCTGTCATCATTTCACATAGCACATTAGTATTTCATCACAGTAATATGCCACAACTTGTTCAGCCATTTCCCAATTGGTGAGCATTCCCTCAGTTTCTCTTTCTTTGCTGCCACAAAAAGAGCTGCTATAAATTTTTTTGTACATGTAAGTTCTTCTCCTTTTATCTCTACGGGGTACAGCCTTAGGAGTGCTATTGCTGGATCAAAGGGTATACAGAGTGTTACGGCCCTCTGGGCATGGTTCCAGATTATACTCTAGAATGGTTAGACAAACTACTCCACCAAGAATTCATTAATGTACCTACTTTCCTCATGCCATCCATGTCATTTCTGATAGGTATGAGTTGGTACCTCACAGCTATTTTAATTTGCCTTTCTCTAATCAATAATGATTTAGAGCATTTTTTTCACATGACTACAAATAGTTTTGAGATCTTCTTCTGAAAACTGCCTGTTCATATCCTTTCACCATTATTAACTGGGGAATGGCTTGTATTTTTATAAATTTGACTCAGTTCTCTACTTCAGATACGAGGCTTTTATCAGAGAAACTTTCTGTAAAATTTTTTTTTATATTACTTCATTGTCTTTGGTACCTTTTAGCAAAATATAGTTTCCCAAATTATCTCTTTTTTTTATTTTTCTCTGAGATCATGATTGTATCCCTGCCTTTTTTTACTTTAGCTGAAGCATAATGCAACTATAGGGTTCCAGCCCTCTATTTTAACTTTATGTGTATCTTTCTGCTTCAAGTATGTCTCTTGAACACAACATATTGTTTGGTTCTGGTTTCTAATCCATTCTGCTATCCATTTCCGTTTTATGGGTTAGCTCATCCCATTCACATTCATAGTTATAATTACTGTTAATTTCCCTCCATCCTACTTTCTTCTGTATCCTTTTGTTTCTTTTCATCTTGTGCCTCCTCAAAAGTCTGTTTTGCTTCTAACCACTGCCTCTCTTAATTCACCCTCCCCTTTTATCATCTGTCCCCATATCTCTTATGGCCTCCTTCTATTTCTCTATTAGGTACATACAATTGAGTGCGTATATACACATTCCCCCTTCTTTGAACCAATCCTGATGAGAATGAAGTTAAAGCATTGCCTGCTACACCATCCTCGCCCCCCATTTTCCCCTTCTATATTCAGTTATCGATATTAGTTAAGCAAAATGTAATTTCTCTGATCATCTCTTTTAATTAGGTCTCTTTCATTTGCTTTGTCTGAGATCATGATTGCTACCATTGCCTTTTTTACTTCAGCTGAAGCATAACAGATTCTGATCCAGACCTTTATTTTAATTCTGTATGTATCCTTCTGTTTCAAGTATATCTCTTGTAAACAAAATATTGTCAAATTCTATTTTTTAATCCATTCTGCTATTCTCTTCCATTTTACAGGTGAATTCATCACATTCACATTCATAGTTATGATTGCTGTGTTTCCCTCCGTCTTATTCTCTCCTATTTATCCTCTATTTTTTTGCCCCCTTCCCTTCTGAAAAGTCAATTTTACTTCTGACCAATGCCTCCCTTATTCTACCCTTTCTTTATTACTCCCCTTCCTGTTTCTCTTAAGCCCTTTCCATCCTACTTTCCTGTTGGATAAGATGAATTTCTATACCCAACTGTGTGGGTATATATATTCTGCCTTCCTTGAACCAGTATAGATCAGAGTGATATTCAACTGTTGTCCATTAGCTCCTCCCACCATTTAAAAAACTCTTCCCTGCAAGCCTTTTATTCATTTAAATTTTTTTCCCCAATTGCATGTAAAAACAATTTTTAACATATATTTTGAAAATTTTTTGAGTTCCAAATTCTCTCCCTCCCTCTCTTCCCCTCTCACTGAGAAGGCAAGCAATTTGATATTGGTTATATGTGTGCAGTCATACACAACCTATTTCCCTATTAGTCATGTTATTGGGGGGGAGCCCAAAAAAACCCTGAGAAAAAGAAAGTAAAAGAGTATGCTGCAATGTGCATTCAGATTTAATCAGCTGTAAGACTCTTTTGTATAAAATTATTTTCCCAATCCCTCCTTTCCTTCTTCCTTCCCCCAGTGTATTCCTCTTTCTCACCCTTCCATTTTTCTTTTGAGATCATTTCAACACAACAGACTCATACCCACAATCTCTATCTAAGGAGACTCGTTCTAATTGCTCTAATGATGATAAAGTTCTTAGGGTTATATATATTTAGCAATCTTCTTATTCAACAATATAAACAGCTTAACCCTATTAAGTAACTTATAATTTCTTACTCTTGTTTACCTTTTCATGCTTCTCTTGAATCTTATGTTTGAATGTCAAAATTTATATTCAGCTTTTCTCTTTTGAACTATCCATTTTTCCCCTTGTAGGATTATACTCAGTTTTGAGGGACAGGTTAGTCTTGGTTGTAATTCTAGCTCTTTTGCCTCCTGGAATATCATATTCCAAGCCCTCTGCTGCATTAGCACAGTAACTACTAAATCTTGTAAGATCCTTGCTTTGGCTACATGGCATTTAAATTCTTTCTGGCTGCCTGCCATTTTTTTCTTCTAGATCTAGGCATTCTGAATTTTGCCTAGAATATTCCTGGCAGTTTTCATTTGGGGATCTCTTTCAGGAGGTGACTGGTGGATTATTTCAATTTCTACTTTGCTATCTGGTTCTAAGATACCTAGGCAGTTTTCCTTTTTAATTTCTTGAAATATGATGTCTAAGCTCTTTTTTTTTTTTATCTTGGCTTTCAAGTAGTCCAAAAATTCTAAATTTATCTCTTTTAAATCCATTTTCCAGGTCAGTTGTTTTTCTAATAAGATATTTCAAAATTTCTTTTATTTTTTTTCAGTCTTCTGACTTTGTTTTATTGTTTCCTGATGTCTCATGGAGTCATTAACTTCCACTTGACAAATTTTAATTTAAATTTTATTTAATTTTTTTTAATAATAAATTTATTTTTAGTTTTCAACAT